TAAATTCGATTTTGTACGATTTATTGAACATTCTGCAGAAATGATCATATAATTATTTACCCAATCAATTTAACTCCAACAATTATAAACTTTAAACACGAAGTCAATATAATTATAGAAGTAACATAGTAAAAATTCAAAATTTTTGGATCACTACACAATTTATCATGTATTTAACCATTTTCAGAAACGACACCGACTTCAAAAATTCATATCTCGAAAAATACAAGTCTAAATTGCACAAGGTCAACCCCATTGTGCTCAGGACACCAAGGTGTTCCATAATTCAAGAGTTAGCCACGAGATTCGATCAGACCTTAAGTGCACGTTTGGTTGGAGGATTAGTGAGGATAGCCCCTCTAATCCAGCATTTATCCCGCGTTTGGTACGTAGGATTCCGGCCCGCATATTTTTTTGAAGCCCGCGATAAATCGGCCATTATCATGAGTATGCGAGATAAATTAATCTCCTCCTTAGCCCAAGATTCAATTTATCTGCACAGTATCATTTTCGATGAAATGTCCAAATTAACCCCAATATTTAATTTTCTCCTGCAATTACAACCACCACACCTCACTTTTATCCCAAAATCTGCAATCGCGATTCTTCGTCAAATGGAACCCCTCTCGTGAAGCACAGGTTCCGCCTTTTCATCTTTTCTTTCATTGCGTTTACATTCGCGAATCTTCTTCTCCAAAGATCGAACCCCTCATATGTTTGTTGTTGGTTACTTTCATACGATGAAGTGTTTTCCTTTCCGTTATATGAAATTTGGCTAACCCTAGCCCTAACAGAAGTGTTTATTTTAATTTTTTGTTTATTTCTTTGCAGATTGTTGGGTGTATATTCGGATTTCGTATTACCTTGATCCCAAAAAAATCAGCGTTCCGCATACTGGTCTATCTCTTATCCTTCAGTATTCTGCCCTTGAACTTATCTGGTAAAGTGTTTCACCGTCATGAATTTGAGATTAAAATTTTCGATTTTTTTTACTTGATAATGGTATCATGATGGAAATGCAATAATGTGACCAAATTCAAGGGCATGGTCATTTTTTGTTTGGCGAAACTGGATTAGGGTCTGGAAAATACTTTTCACCATCATTAGTTTCTATACTGCAGGTTGAAAATATTATGTGAAGTTAGTAAGGCTGACTTGGCCAATTTGTGCTATTCTGAATTACACCTATATTGTGAAAAATCATTTGTCCAATAGTTGTACATAGTATTAGATATTTGTGAATTTGTTGTTAGGTATTGTTGGGAATTGGTTGTAGCCCTAATATAATACTACATATTGGGCATATATATACTAGACATTACTGTTTATGTCCCAACCTTATTTTACTATGATTAACTGTTATGTTCATTTCATTCTTGTCTATATATTGTGGAATATATATGATAGGAAATGACTGTTTCACTTTGATTATCTATGATTAATTATTTTTGTGGAATACATAGGAACTGACTGCATACATATGTTATGCTCACTGTTTATAATCAGATTATAATATGAAAGAAGGAAAGCTTTGTTGACTTGAATCTAATAATTGTGGAACCAATATTAGATTACCCAAGTAAGGATGAACCTCGAAACCCACCAAGCAGAGGCATTGTTTGTCGTGGAAGAAATTATGAATCTTTTGAAGATTGTTTTCTTGATTGCTTACATTTACTTAAAATTGGTTGTCCAACGCAAGAGTCGATGTAGAAGTAGCAGTCGTCGTGATAAAATAACTTACTGAATGGCAGATAGGCTTCCCACCCAAATAGAGCACATGAAACAGTTAATAGATATTAGCGATGAAACATGTGTTCAACAACTTCGCATGGACTGTGATGCCTTTGGTAGGTTATGCTATTTGTTGGAACACGTTGGTGGTCTACAAAACAGAAAAATTGTTCAAATAAGTGAACAAGTTGCAATTTTTTTGAGTGTATTAGCCCACCATAAAAAAAATGCAGTAGTGAAATTTGATTTCAAACGGTCTGGACACACGATTAGCAAATTATTCCACAATGTACTTCACTCCGTCCTACGACTCCACCCGATTCTACTTGTACAACCAACTCCTGCGGATGACTTTTGGATGACTCGTGTACTGACTGGAGATGGAAATGGTTCAAGGTGACATTATAAGAATCTATAACCTTTGTAAATTTCTATTTCATGTTAATTCAATGCATGGTTGGTCCTTAAGTTAAACTTATTACATGGATGCTTAGGTGCACTTGACGGGCACGTACATACCTGTCCGTGTTCCGTCACACAGACACGGTCGATATCGTAATCGAAAAGGTTCTGTGTCCGTAAATGTCCTTGGAGTATGCAATCGAGAAATGAATTACTCGTATGTACTGAGTGGATGGGAAGGCTCCGCGGCAGACAGTCGTGTCCTGCGAGATGCCGTGCATAGAAACGGGGGGTTGCGTGTGCCTGTTGGTAAATATCTGAAAATAACATTTTAGTTCACTTAAATAGCCATTATAGGTTACAAACTGGTTATTATTATATATGTAAAAAATGTATTTATTATTGGCGGTTTCTTTGTTAACTAAACAGGAAATTATTACCTTTGCGATGGGGGTTATACAAATGGACCTGGATTTCTTGCTCCTTATAGAGGCGTGAGATATCATTTAGATGAATTTGGAGATGGTAATCGAGCCCCTATTATCGAGAATTGTTCAACTTAAGACATGCTAGAGCACGAAATGTGATAGAGCGTTCATTTGGTGTTTTGAAGATGCGGTGGGCTGTGCTTAGGAGCAAAACTTTTTTCCATATAACCACACAGAATGATATAATACTTGCATGTTGCCTGCTTCAAAACTACATCCGCTTATCTATGGATGTCGACCCGATGGAATTTGATGGAGAATCGTACATGAATGATCTCAATCTGGGTGCTCCTGATTCCAATGAGTATGTAGATGTTGTTGACCTGAGTCAGGAATGGACAAATTGGAGGGATGCATTGGCCATGTCTATGTTTAATGAATGGGAAAGGGACCATTGATTAAAATTTCTGTGCTTTAGTTGCATTTTCAACAGTTTCACTTTTGATTATGTATCCTTTCTTTGAATTTCATTGTGTCGTACTTGTATTGTGTTCTTCCATTTTTATGCAAACCTAATTCTGTTTATCCAACTATTATGTGTTAGTTTGTTTGTTGCATAATGGATATTTTACTTCCTTCATACGTACTGTGTTGCGAAAAATGTTTTCATTGTATGGTTCGATATGTTATACTGAAAAATGATTTTTATTTTTTGTTTACGATATATTAATAACCTGTTTATGAAAGTGTTGATACCAGTTGTTTTATGGAGTCAACTGGTAGTGGGGGGCGTTATGCACAGTCAAACACCCATCGTCGGGTATAGTCAATGGATCAAGAACGTGCATTATTGGATGGACTGAAGGACCTCATTACTTGCGGTTGGAAATGTGACAATGGTTTTCAAAACGGTTACGCTCTGATGTTAGAAAAACATATGAATGTGAAATTCCCAAATTGTGGCATTAAAGCTGAACCTCATATATCTTCAAAGATTAGGGTTTGGAAAAAAAATTACGGGTTACTAGCCGGAATGATGGGAACCTCTGGATTCGGCTGGTCTGAGATTGGAAACATGTTGGATGTTAAGGATCCTGAGTGGAAAGCGTATCTAAAGGTATGAGTTTCACTTTTATGTGTAAGTATGATGTTTTCGAAGCAATTCTGTTCTCTTTTTTCCTTATTTTCTCTCCACTGTTGGTATGTTAAATATATGTTCAACTGTTAACTATGGTCTGCTTGGGAATTATAGGTTCAACCAAAGGTAAAATCAATGCGTTTGAAGTCCTGGCCTTTTTATGCTGATTGGGTTGAAATTTTCGGAAAAGATAGGGCAACCGGTGAGGGGGCAAGGGGGTTCACGGACGCGGTAAACGATGTCTTACTAAACAAGGACACACAACCAATACCGGTCCATACCACACCGCCCCACGTACCAAATAACACATTTGATCCTCTACATGAAAATGTGATGGAGTCTTCTTCGGCACAAGGAGGTGAGAATAGTGTTTCAAGTAAGGGAAAACGTGTGCTGAAAAGACAACGTGAGGTCCAACAAGTAGATTCCCAAATTGTGGGTATGTTGTCTTCATTATGTGCAAATGCCAATGACCGACTAGCTGAGATTGCTAAAGGAGCAGTTTTCCAGAACGCCGCAAAGGAGCAACGACAGTCTGTGTATGAAGCTCTCCATGAAGTTCCTGAGTTAAGTACCGGCGACAAAGTCGCTGTCGCTCGATATTTATGCAAAAACAATGACAAGCTGGATCTTTTCTTTACTCTTGATTCGGAGGCTAAATTCTCTATGGTGCAACAAATTTTACAAGATTTGAAAAAATGAATTTAGGCGTAGTATGCTTCATCTTGTTTAAAGAATGCCTTGTCGAAATGCACCTCGGCAGTCCCATGTTTTGATGTCGACACTTTAACTTTTGTGGATTATTCTTTTGAAATCGTTAGTTCATGTATCGCGGACAATTTGTATTTGTATTATGCACTACGAATATTTTGTTCTCATTTTTCTGATGCAAAAGTTTGGTTTCTGCATATCTTTTTCAGAATAGGTAATTGTAATATGAAAGGGGATGAAATTCTCAAATAAATGATGCCAACAAGCCTATATTCGTAGAATGTAATGCCTACCTAGTTAATGGTTATTCCAATCGAAAGTAATGGATATTATTTTCAGAAGTATTGGAAAAAATTGAAAAAATAATGGCAACCTTTTTTTTGTGGGGAATTTTGAAAACAATTGCCAACATCAATAAAGCTTTTTTATATCCAATTATGTACTAATGTATATATTATTTATAAACTTGTAACATACTGTTTTTTAAAAAAATATCTGGATATAATATTTGTGAAAGCTTGTTTTTTTTTTTAAAATATAATGTTTAATCTACCTCACAGTAACTTTATCTCATGAAAATTTGAAAAATGTGTCTAATTTGAAACCCAACATTCAGTTTTACGGCGTCGTTCCTCACTTGATGCTCAGCGGGTCATAAATCCCAAAATCACAACACGAAACTTGAAAACCTAAATTTTCCCGTGGGACTAACATCCCTCACGCAGACGAAGAAAAATATAGGAGATTGAGAATTTTGTTGGTCAATATTACTCTCCATTATCTTGTTTTTCCGTGAGGTCTGTTTAATTTTTTGTGTGATGAATTTTGTTATCCCTCTATGAACTCTGTTATTTTCTATTGTTGTTAAATTTTGAGCACTCACGATTTTAGCAATTACATTGCCAGCCGCTCATTTTCTTGTGTTGTGATTCTATCATTTTGTAGGTTGAGGATCTATTGTCATGTGAAATATTCATTTTCGAGAGATTGCCCCACAAATAATCGATAAAAAATTATTTATGTATGCTATGTTTTCAGTTATACAATCCCACTATCGGATCTGTTATGACCTTTTAAAAAACACAGACTGAAACATGTAATGTTCACTTTGTTATTGTATTTGGGTTATGACACTTTACAATCTAACTACACTGTTTACATAAAGATTTTCCCTCCTTTGCTAGTTTACTTAAAAAAAA